GTGCCGTAATGCAAAAATTGGCCTGGGCAGGAAGGGGGGTAAATCCTCTGGAGGGCATGTGGTTAATCACCTCCAGAGTCCAGACTGTTAGGTGCTGGGAAGGAATCTTTTGTTTGATTGTTTATGTAATGTAATTTTCTTCTGGGACATGTAATGTCTGCCATACTTGTCTACGGGTAAGGTTTTTGTTTATAAATGCTGTGCTGCTTATTAATAAATTCAGTCCTGTTTTACTCCAACGTTGATTCTGTCTAATGTTTGGGGTATATTTGCTATATTCTGATTCCAGAGTGGTGAAAGCTGTAGTTTGGCGGTGATACCCAGTTGAGGTGTCAGGGAGTCCATCAAAAAAACACAAGGCTTCTCTATTGAGAAGCATTCAGGCCATCTTCATTTGGTTTGCCCATACTGCTGTGGAACATAGTATATACAGTAGCTTGTGCTACTGCAGTATAGTACAGCACAGACAGTGGCAGTATAAGTTAGTAATGGAAACAAGTCATTTCAACACGTTTGGCCCAAAACAACTATTTGAAGACATATTAAACATGAAATTCTACTTGAATACAGATTTTGCAAAGAATGTGATGTTTTCTCAACAGAGAGAGCAATGTATCTGTTTCTTTCTAGACTGTCTCTCCCTAATTGAAATTTTGCAAGGAGTCATACAGAACAAGGGAAAGGGGAGAAGGATGCACTCCTCTGACTCATTTTGCTGTGCAAAACATATTTTAAATATTCATCTTATCTATATATATATATATATATATATATATATATATATATATATATATTTGTCAGGAACATAATGAATAAATAAATATACACAAAAATACATTCTCTTTAAAGAAAAATGCTCTTATACTTCACTAGCCGCTGTACAAAGATTGACAAAATATTTTCTTTTGGTCTTGCAGCCCTTTGCTCTAGCCTACTACTAAATATTTCACCAGTTTATAAAAGTTTGAAACGAAAAGTTATGGTGTTAAAGCCAAGTAACTTAATGATAAGAACTGACAGGTTGGCAAAAAAGTGAAAAGTCAACATAACAAATAAAAAATAGTTTAAAACAAATACATAATTACAGGGCTTGAGGGTTTTCATCTCTAAAGTCCTACAAATAATTGATTTGTTTTCTTTTTTTAATCAACCAAATTATTAATGAAAAGGCTAAAAGTCAACAAGCTGGCAAAATTCTCTGCACAATAGATTTTGCCTGGTTAATTTTAATTTAGTAGAAATGCAATGGAAATGACTGTTTAATTTGCCCACATTAGTTTTATTTTATGTATACAGTAATAATAAGTAATAATTCCCATTAAAAGCAGGTGACATTTCCCATGACAGCTAAATAGCAATTTAAATCTTCATAACTAGAAATCATTGAGGATAAGGGAACAGTAGAAAACAAATATTAGGATTGATTTATTAAAGCAGTAGAGCATATTTACTTGCTAATAGAATTGTCACTTATCTTGATTAATTGAGATGAGCAAAGTAAAAATTCCTTTACAAAAAAAAACCCCAATCGTGTCCAAAAAAATGGAAAAAAAAGCTGAATTTTTGCTTACAAATAATTGGATAATTAAGGCCAGTACAGCTTCACCACATTCACTAATTGTGTAGGCAGGTGTTTACTAGGGGTATGTTGCATAAGATAGCAAGATTGAACTGCCAAGGTTAGGGAAGAGTTGAACTTCGGGTTTCTGATTTCCCAGGATTTTTTGGGTCCTACCTTCCTTCCTGGTCTGTATATAAATAGGGGGAAGACCGGGCTCAAGGGGGCTTTTTGTCAGGACCGCATGGGAAGCAGGCAGGTCCGCAGCACAAGAGAAGATGTAACCTGAATTTACCTTGTCGGCCACCCTTAGGGGATTCTCCCAGTATGGACTTTAGCAAGTATGGACTCTCACCTGTACAGATATGCCTGGGCAGCCACAGTGTGGTTAGACAGGAGGACTGGATTACAAATTCAAATGTCTCCAAATGCTTTAGTAAAACTTGTTAACTGTTCCAAGCCTGGTTTGAAGTAATTGAAAGGGGTGCATGGGGCGTCATGGTGTTTTGAAAGAACCAGACCGGTATAGTACACATGGGGTACAGAAGTAAGATTATTACAGAGGGTTAACTCGGCAGAAGAGTTGAAGAAAGAGAACAGTTTCGATGGGTAACCAAGTACAGCAGCCAGTCAGTCAGCGTGGTACCTGGCATAGGTAACGGATCCTCCAGTATGGAGGGGGTCGGTGTTCTAGATCCCTACCTAGTGGTTGGTTCCCCCAAATGTGTTTGGGACCAAACCTGCGGTACAAAAACCCCAGGTGTCCAACCGCATGGTATGGGAGAGTAGAAGAAGCTAAATTTAGGTGCATGCATGAGGTCCTCGTTAGTGCACGGCAGGACTTTTATTCTATCTCTGGGAGTGAGGTGGCAAAGATAAGCTGGTGGAGACAGCATAGGCTCAGTGGTGTCCCTATTAAATGCGACAATTCACAGGCAGGGTTTGCAGTTATATGCAGGGGCGGACTGACAACTCATGGGGCCCCCGGGCAATAGGGGATCATGGGGCCCCTGTGTCCTTGCCCAAACTCAAAAAAGCCTATGAAAAAGGTACCAGGGGCATCTCATGGGGCCCCCTACTGACCCCGGGCCCTCGGGCAGTGCCCGAGTTTCCAAATGGTCAGTCCGCCCCTGGTTATATGGGAAAGCACATTTTACAGAGAGACTGCACATATTACTAGTGCACATGGTGTACGGCTCATCTCTAAGCCGGGGTACCGCCATAATATTGACTTTCACATGAACACGGCCCACTTGGTCCCGGGAATTGATAAGCACACATGAGAAAGGTACCCCCATGTGCAGGATGAGCAGGCCCCGCCCACAAGCGAACCAAATTTTCTCTTTGCAAAAGGTATTTTTCACTTAGCTTAGTGAATTAATTGAGATGTGCTGATTCAATCATTCAATAAAGTGCCAGTAATGTTTTTTTTCTAATTGCTTTTGCATAGTATTCTTTATGAAGTGAATTTTCACTTTTTTTTCCTCTTTCACTAAGATTAGTAAAAGTTAACTTTAAAAGATAAAATGTTCTACTTCTTTTGTAAATCATGGTCACCGTGTAGCGCTACCAAGCACAGTCTGCGTGTATGAGTTGTACAGAAGTGATGGAGGATAAGGAAAAACATTCAGAGATACACTTTTAGTGCCCCATCATTAAGTATCTCAATTCAAATTGTTTTATTCATAAGAAATCTGTGGATGAAGCAGAGCTTCTGGGTTTGCCAATCTCCTGGTTGCCTTGCATTGTTAAGTGGTTTCTTCCGTACTGAGTAATGATGTGGAGGTCAGAGGAAGGAACCACTAAACACTGCAAGTTATTGACACTCCTGGAAGTGTCAGTTTTCCTTTGGAACATAGCCACAAATTTCTTGTGAATGGTACAGTATTCTGGCAGAATGGACAGCAAGAAAGGTAGATGCAGTATTTACTTGCTTCGTCCCAGGTATGTCTACTTTATATTGAATTGATACTTATAGTGTATTTTAAGGCAAACCTGTTCTTTTTTTTTTAGTTTTGGTTACAGAGGGGAGGAGTCAGACCCTTTTAGAGATTTTATTGTCATCTGTATCCCCACGGAGACATTCACCCCTCTATTTGTACTGGTGACCATTATTCCAAGAAAGAAATTGAGGGGAAATTTTAAATTTTAGAGTTGCCCCAGAACAAGTGGAAAGGGGAAATTTTCTCATGTGAACATCTGTTCCAGGGACAGCTGTCTAAGATTGGAGTTCCCCTCACTGTGAGATTTCCACTACTGGATCGTTGTGTCTCTGGAAACGTAAGTTAAGGAAAATTTCCTCAATGATACACAGATAACAGAAAAATAACCTGGCAGGGGTGTTGAAGGTTAAGTTCACCTTTGGGAATAAGTTACATGTTTTTAGGGTGAAACATGTAACATGTCCCCAATGTTTCAGCTGCTGCTCGATCCCCCCCTTCAGCTTATCCCCGTACTAACTATCACTGTTTAAAAACAGCGCAGAGTTCTTTGAATGAATGAACTACAAGTCCCAACAGCCTTAGCAGCTATTGGCTTGCAGTTCTCAATGAATTTACAGGTGCTGTGGAGTGCCGTGGTAATTCATTGATTCCTCCTGTCAGTGTATCTGCTTGCCTGTATGGGCCAGGGGCGGACTGACCATTTGGAAACTCAGGCACTGCCCGAGGGCTTGGGGTCAGTAGGGGGCACCATGAGATGCCCCTGGTACCTTTTTCATAGGCTTTTTTGAGTTTGGGCAAGGACACAGGGGCCCCATGATCCCCTATTGCCCAGGGGCCCCATGAGTTGTCAGTCCGCCCCTGGTATGGGCGCACAGATACACCAACAGGTCTGCAGGAAACCTGCATGGTATCTGCGATTTGTTGATTGCTAGTGAAATGCTTTACAGACTCTTGCAACAAAAAATAAGAAATGCACATTTTTTTACTTTTGTCAAAAGGCAAACGTATCCTTTATCTCCTCTGGAGAAGGAAGACAGCTGATCGGTAAGGTAAGTGTCTGTGCCGTGCAGCTGGGATCTGGGCAGAGAAGATGGTGCTGCTGCAGCCAGATATGCTGGCTGTTGATGGGAGAGGGAGGGAGCCCGGGCTGGAGCAGGGGTCAGCAATGTAAGCATCATTGGTGTCAGTGGGAGTAATAGTGCCCCATCATTAGTGTCAGTGTGGGAGGAATAGTGTCCCATCATTGGTGTCACTGGCACCAATGATGGGGCACTAGTCCTCCCACTGACACCAATGATGGGGCATTATTCCTCCCACTGACACCAGCGATGGGGCACTATGCCTCCCACTGACACCAATGATGGAACACTAGTCCTCCCACTGAAACCAATGATGGGGCACTATTCATCCCCCTCACACCAGTGATGGGGCACTATTCCTCCCACTGACACCAATGATAGGGAACTATTCCTCTCACACTGACACCAATGATGGGGCATTATTCCTCCCACTGACACCAATGATGGGACACTATTCCTCCTACTGACACCAATGATGGGGCACTATTCCTCCCACACTGACACCAATGATGGGGCATTATTCCTCCCACTGACACTAATGATGGGACACTATTCCTCCAACTGACAACAATGATGGGACACTATTCCTCCCAATGAAACCAATGATGAGGCACTATTCCTCCCTCACTGACACTGATGATGGGGCACTATTCCTCCCACTGACGGCAATGATGGGGCACTATTCCTCCCACTGACGGCAATGATGGGGCACTATTCCTCCCACACTGACACTAATGATGGAGCACTATTCCTTCCACTGACACCAATGAAGGGGAACTATTGCTCTCACTGACACCAATGATGGGACACTATTTCTCCCACACTGACACCAATGATGGGGCACTATTCCTCCCACACTGACACCAATGATGGGGCACTATTCCTCCCACACTGACACTAATAATGGGGCACTATTCTTCCCACTGACACCAATCATGGGGCACTATTCTTCTCACTGACAACAATGAAGGGGAACTATTACTCCCACTGACAACCAATGATGGGGCACTATTCCTCCCACACTTACACCAATGATGGGGCACTATTCCTCCCACACTGAAACCAATGGTGGGGCACTTTTCCTCCCACTGACACCAATGATGGGACACTATACCTCCCACTGACACCAGTGATGGGGCACTATTCCTTTCACACTGACACCAGTGATGGGGCACTATTCCTCCCACTGACTCCAGTGATGGGGCACTATTCCTCCCACACTGACACCAATGATGGTGCACTATTCCTCCCACACTGACACCAATGGTGGGGCACTATTCCTCACACACTGTCACTAATAATGGGGCACTATTCTTCCACTGACACCAATGATTGGGCACTATACGTCCCACTGACACCAATGAAGGAGAACTATTGCTCCCACTGACACCAATGATGGGGCACTATTCCTTCCACACTGACACCAATGATGGGGCACTATTCTACCCACACTGACACCAATGCTAGGGCACTATTCTACCCACACTGACACCAATGGTGGGGCACTATTCCTCCCACTGACACCAATGATGGGGCTCTATTCCTCCCACTTACACCAATGAAGGGGAACTATTGCTCCCACTGACACCAATGATGGGGCACTATTTCTCCTACACTGACACCAATGGTGGGGCACTATTCCTCCCACTGACACCAGTGATAGAACAGTATTCCTCCCACTGACACCAGTGAGGGGGCACTATTCCTTCCACTGACACCAGTGATAGGGCACTATTGCTCCCACTGACACCAGTGATGAGGCACTATTCCTCCCACTGACACCAATGATGGGACATTATTCTTCCACTGACACCAATGATGGAGCACTATTTCTCCCACACTGACACCAATGGTGGGGCACTATTCCTCCCACTGACACCAGTGATAGAACACTATTCCTCCCACTGACACCAATGATGGGACATTATTCTTCCACTGACACCAATGATGGAGCACTATTTCTCCAAATGACACTGGCATTTTCTGCTGGCTGATCACCAAAAAGAGTGGGAAATTTGAAAACATTTTACTTTTGAGGGCTGGTGATTTCTGGTCCTTGTAGTTGTTTTATTTTCTTCTTTGGGTCTTGCTAAAAGCTTTTACTTTTTTTAATCCCTTTTTCTGTCACTAGCATTTTTTTTTCTTCCTTTCTTTGTCTTCCTTCAGTCTGCTGACTAGGGGAGGGGTTAATTGGTTAAAGGTGATACAGGTCCTATATAACTTGCTGTAGAGATCACTCTGAGCTTGCTCATTTTTGAGCTTGCCTGTATTTTGCTTGCCGGACCTTTGACTAAGTGGACCTTTCATAAGTGGAGTTAAAAAAAACGGAGTGGAAAACAAGAGATTATAACAGGAGTCTACTAACCTGTAAGTGACAACTGATATTTCCTGTTAATATTGTAACTGGGATATGAGTGCTAGAAAGGGTTGAAGGTTTTGTGCAGTGCCCATTATGCCATATGTATGCAACAATGGAGCAATAGCTCCATTGCTGGACACTGCTGCGACAGATGTGAGCGGCTTGCCCTTCTGGAATCTCGAATTGGAGATCTGGAGGAGCAACACTGGGCAGAACTGACAACCTTGAAAGGGTTCTTCTGCTCTCTTACCATGTAGCTAATGGGATTGATGTGGAGGGCGGATGAGCTAATCAGGATTATCAGGTAGGAAGATGGGTTACTGTAACAAGAAGGAGTGGTAGGGGCTCACAGAAAAGGAAGGCTGGCCCTGGGTTTGAGCACCCAAACAGATTTGCCAAGTTGGGTGAAGATGTGGGAGTGGCAAGCTCAGGGGTGGCAGCCCTGGATGTCACTGCTATCCCTAACAGCCGGGAGGGCAGACCATCTGGGAGGGGTGGTGAGGGTAGTGCAGGAAGGCCTAGACAGCTGTTGGTAGTAGGGAATTCTATGATCAAAAGGACTGATAGAATAATTTGCCGCAAGGATCGCCTCAACCGAATGGTTTGCTGTCCCCTGGTGGCAGGGTTAAGCATGTGGTGGACCGGGTTGATAAATTACTGGGAGGGGCTGGGCATGACCCAGCTGTTTTGGTTCATGTTGGAACCAATGACAGAATACATGGAAGGTGGAGGCTCCTTAAGAATCAATTTAAAGAACTAGGCTGCAAGTTGAAGGGAAGGAACTCCAAGGTGACATTCTCTGAAATATTACCTGTGCTATGAACAACTCAGGAAAGATGGGGAGATTAGAGAACTCAATGCATGGCTGAAGACCTGGTGTAAGAGGGAAGGATTTGGGTTTCTAGAGCAATGGGCTGACTTTTCATTGGGGTGCAACCTATATGCTAGAGATGGTTGGCACCTAAATGGAAGGGGGTCTGCTGTGCTGGGGGAGAGGTTTATGGGAAGGCTGGAGGAGTATTTAAACTAGGATCGAGGGGGGAGGGAAAATTAGATTACAACGGGGTAGACAGATCAGACAAAGGTCAGTACTTATTGGTGGGTGGAATGGGGAAAGATGGGGGGAAGGCTATGACAGATGATTAGAAGGTTCCCATGTTGCAAACAACCAATGGAATTGGTACCATTTGTATGAAAATAAAAAAAATATGCAAAATACAGTACGTGTGAACAAGGTGTCAATGTATTAAAGTGTTTGTTCAACAGAAGTCTGCCAAGCAAAATAGGTGAGTTGGAAGCATTGGTCCATGAAGAGAATTATGATTTAACTGGTATTGCTGAATCTTGGCTTCATTCTTTGCATGACTGGGCCATTAATATTCCTGGCTATGTTCTCTTTCGGAGAGACAGAATAAATAGGAAAAGTGGTGGTGTCTGTCTCTATGTGAGAAGTGATCTCAGACCGAGTGTGAAAGAAGACCTAGTTGATTGAGAGTGTGATGAGGCTGAAGTATTATGGGTGGAACTGCACATGGGGGTGCGTACTACAAAGATAATCATTGGAATTTGTTATAGGCCTCCCAGTGTTAATGAGGAGGTGGAAACTCAGCTCCTTGCACAGATCAAAAGGGCTGCAAGGGCTGGGACAGTGATAATAATGTGGGATTTTAACTACTCAGAAATTGACTGGAGTAATGGTACTGCAGGAACAGTTAAAGGGCAAAAAGTTTTAAACCCTACTACAAGACAATATTATGGTACAGTTCATAGAGGCCCCTACTAGGAATGATGCTCTGCTGGACCTGGTAATCTCAAACCATGCAGATCTTATTATGAATGTCTATATAAAAGAACATCTGGGTAGCAGTGACCATAACATGATTTCATTTATTGTTAGCTGTAAACAGCAAGCACATACGGGAAAAATAAAAATGCTCAATTTCAAGATAGCTAATTTTCCAAGGCTGAGAGCTGCTCTCTAAGACTTAGACTGGGAGGGAATATTGGCATCGATAAAACACAACACAGAAATGGGAGTTCTTCAAAAAGACTGTATGTGAACACACTGCAAAATATATTCCCATGGCCAACAAGTTTAAAAGGCTAAAAAATCAAACCTATGTGGCTTACGGCCAAAGTTAAAAAGGCTATAGATAATAAGAAAATAACTTTTATTAAATGTAAAAATGAAGGAACGCTATCATCGGTTAAACATTACAAAGAAAATAACAGTGTCACAGCTGCTTCCCCCTCTCAGCCCTCTTGCTCTGTCCCTGCTCCCTCTGCCGTCTCTCATTCATGCCCCTCTCACCTCCTGCAGAGAAGAAAGGCATTCCTAAGACAGGCTGGAGCCTTGCCAGTTTAAGAAGCTAATGCCCGGCGCTCCCGGAGATTTCACCACTGTGTAGCCACTGAAAGGAGCCCGAGCTGCGGTCATCAAGCCTTCACTGTTGTTTGATAACTTAAGCTGCCCATACACTGAGCAAATGTTTCCAAGTTTGTAATGAATCAACCAAAATTCGAGCAGTGGGTGGTCCTGTTGGTACCACTTCAGCCAACATCCTTCAACAGAAAAATTGAAGGACCTGGGTGGAAATTGTTGGCTGAACATTGCTAGCGCACATTTACAGAATACAACAGCCACAGCGGGATATTCATTCATCTGTTTAGCATGGGTAGAGAAATCTATGAGTGTATGGCCAACTTTATCAAGGACATCTCCTCACACCCCTTTACTTGGACTCTCTAGTGTTTATATGGTGGTAATAGTGCCTTAGTTGAATAAATGGTTGGCGCTAAAAATACCTTAGTTGAAAAGCTAGGTTCAACCTGTCGTGATTATGGCAAGGGTAGGAAGAAATCTTCTTCTTCGCACAGCTCCCAGCAAGTTGTTGAACACTGCCCCACCCCCAATCAAAGTGGAGAAATATTATGTAAGCAACTTATTTTGTATACTGCTACACGTATGCAAAATTTGGTATATGATTTTTAGCACCAGAGGTGAGGTTCAGCTGGTTAAGAAGATTCATGTGACACATACAGAAACAAAAAAGTCCAGTGACACATACAAAAAGAAGTCCAGTGCCCCACACAAAAAAAAACTTATTTTCATTAAGAATCTTCAGTGCCAATAGTGATCCTTCCACCATCCACCAGTGCAAAACCAACATGAACCGCACTCACCAGATATTTGGTGAGTATAACGCCTTTCAGGATTAATTAGGGTTCCTGGACCCCCTTTGTGACCTCCAACTATTGCCACCTCAAAGATATTGATATTCCTCCAATTGCTCCCCTCGCCAACTCCACTGGATTCCAGAAAGAAAAAAAAATTTTATAGGTAATAAGCAGCATGTATTGAAGATAAAAATGAATTCCACAATTCCTGTAGCAAGACCTCACAGCCTTGTACACAGCAGGATGACAGACCTCAAAGAAAACCTCCCCCACTGAGCAAAAATGGCCACTTGGAACGCACCGCTCGGCGGCGTGCGTTCCACTCACCGGAAATGACGCAGGACGTTGGGACGGCCAGCCGGAAGTACGTCAACGCGTTTCGCCCCACCCACAGGGAGAACGCCGTCCCAAGGCTGTGAGGTCTTGCTACAGGAATTGTGGAATTTGTTTTTATCTTCAACAAATGCTGGTTTATTACCTTCTTAGATTCTTAATGAAAATACGTTTTTTTGTGTGGGGCACTGGACTTCTTTTTGTATGTGTCACTGGACTTTTTTGTTTTTGTATGTGTCACTGGACTTTTTGTTTTAATATATATTTTTTTTTTTTGTGACACTTATACTAAATTGCAATGTTTTTTATTAATATTATTTAATGAATACGTTATTTATTATTGTTCACAAATATTGATTGGTGTGAGGT